TCACTATTGTTGTAAATTTTATACTAAGTCTTCCTCTGTAAAAATTAAATCAACAATTAATAAAGATCACAACTTGAAAAGTGTCTCGCAAAAAAAAAAAAATATAATGCTTCCACCAACACAAACAGCTAGAATCCTAGATATATACCTAGAAGAAAAAGGCACAAAAACATTCCAACAGCAATTAATCAAGGACAAAACTCTAAAATACACCAATATAATCAAGTAGAAAACAACAACAGATAAACAAATCAGATATCTTCACAACCAAGTCTGGATACCAACAGTAACATACCTACTATTAGATCTGATCCTCACAGAACCAAGTTGCAACAAAATCATGAGCATACTCAACCTTATCTATAAACACAAACTCAACCTTGCAAAAACAGCACCCAACACAATCCTCTTCAATCCACTAGAATATGGATTTTTCCATCTCTGGGATAGACAACTGCTACTCCACGCAAACAACTGGTACAAAAGAATCAATCAACAAGACATTATAGGGAAAATCACAACCATGCGTCTACAAGAAACACAAAACAAATGGTGGTCAACCAATTCCATAACAAGCACACAGTTTACAAAAACATTCCTTCTCCAAGGGCACGACTTTACACATGATCTCCTTTTCCTACTCGGACAACATGGATACACAGGCAATCCACAAAATCTCCAAATCATTAAAAAAACAGATACAACAATCAAAGAAATAACAGATCCAATATGGTACAAAAAACATAGAAAACAGCTTGCAGAAAATCAGATTCTTTTCCTGAACCAAATTATCAACTACACAGGATCTAGATTAGCAGCATGGGTAGAAATTATAACAGCAAACAAAAAACCTAACAGACGAACACCCAACTGGTTCAAAGAAATCCAACAAAATCAAAAAATCCTAAATCTTATTGAAAACAGAAGTACACAAAACCAAGTAGCAAAAACCAATCACAAATTAGCAATCGAAACAACTAATTAAGAAATCAAATGGACAGCATCCCAAGGCACCAACACAAGTATTATAGGGAAAAAGTGAGCAACCCACAAAAACACAATCAAACTACAACATTATATCAGAACCAATAATGACTTCTTTCTATTACAAGAATGTAATGGATGTACACTGAACACTTTAGAAAAACAAGGAGAATGCATTTTCTACAAAAAAAAAAACAGCCTGATCTGTATTCCAGTCCACAAAAGTAAAATTAATTCCAGAAACACATCCACCAAAAAATGCTGCCAACGAAGCAGAATATCACCTGACAGCTTGAACAACATTCTCAAAGACAAATTCTCACACTCCATCCTTCCCCTACTGCCAACCGTATCAAACAATCATTAAAAAATATATCAGCTTAACAGAATAAACAATTGATAAATTGGCAACAATACACCACAAAATAGGAAAACTTAAAGAAATCACAGCCTACACAGATGGATTCCTAGACCTAAACCAAAAAATGGGATTCAGTTGACATATAATCCAAGAATCAAATATCAGCTTCCAAGGAAAAATAATTAAATTTCCATCTTATATAAGAGCAGAACTCGCAGCAATCCTAACTGTCCTTACAACAGTTCTGGCCAACAGTAAAATTACTATTTACAGTGATAGCCAAGCAGCCTTAGGAGCAATTAACAAAGCACAAACAAAGCCATTCCAACTGAGAGTCCTGAGAAATAACAATATAATTAACTCCATAATCCACATCATAGAAAGCCAAAAACTAATCACAATATGGAAAAAAATCAAAACACACAATAATAATAAATAACATGACAGAGCATATCTCCTAGCAAAGGAAGTAACAATCTCAAAAAAGGCATCTGAAATAGAATGTGTACCTATCAAAAACAACAAAGTACGATGGACACAAAAATGGAATGGCAATACTTTAGACAACACTATCCTGACCTTAATCAAAAACCTTATTAGATCAAAACATATTCTCAACTGGAGAAGCTTGGATCACAACCTTATAACAACTGACAACAACTCCATACTAAATAACATCACATAGTAAGAGTCACTACTCAACAGAGAATTATCAAAACTCACAACAGAACCAACCTATCAAGAAGACCCCACTAACAGATCCTTCAAAATCAGACTCTGGAATCTAGAACTACCCACCAAGAACAAACTATATAAAAGAGCAGCAAACACATATACAGATAACCAATGTCTTAACTGTCAACAAATAGAAACAAATACACATTGCATAATTTGCGAAGGCAATGAAACAGACATATATAAAAAGCTACAACAAATAATAAATAAAGAAGTCAGTAGTAGAAACAAAAAATCCATAGAGCACAACCTAAATAGAGAACTCAACAAACAAGCAAAATACTGGACACAGAAAGTGAAAAACTATTTAGCAAGAGGGGTCCTCACAGTGGATATGATCAAAACTATTAAAAAATATACACTGATAGAAAACCCAAAAGAAACTATAAAAAACATAATCAATAGATTCCTCAATGCAATACAAGAAAAGTGGAAATGCAAATGCAACAACTTTACACAATGGGAAAAGGAACACAACATCACTGCAAAAGACAAAAAACAATGGAAACCCATAAACACAAAAAAGAATCCACACAAATCTGTCATCCCAGGAATCAATGAAATCATAAAATACGCCAGTCATCACTGGATCAACTAGAACACAATCTACTTTTTCAAAACAAAATTTTTATGGGACAGGTAGAGCCTTGGCAAATTAGTCAAGTATATACCAGTACTTGGCAATAAGCCGCACAGTAGGAACATCCTTAGTGAGTTTAATTAGATAGACAGAGTGATAAATTTGTATAAAATAAATTTGTACATACTCATCCTAAAATATTTAATAAACAAGGTGTAAGCCACCTATTTTAAAAAAAAATAAACATATGAGCTTGAATAAACCAAGTGATAAAATTTTGTTAAAAAAATAATTATTATAGATATATTTACAGTATATGTGCAAATCTTTATTAATTAGTAATAATCAGTGATATATTTATATTAAATGTTAATATTTGCCTATTTATACTTGAATTTTAACTATATAAGTATTGAATTATATTCCATCTGGTAATAGATTTTTGGCCTTCAATCCATGTTAGGTATGCAACAAGTCTAAAGAAAATATTATCTGTTATGTACCATATGTTTTATATAGGGCTTCTAATAATATTACTTTAATATCAGTTTTATATTTAAATTTACCATAAAATCATATAAGTAGGTTACAATTCATATATTCAATTTACTATAGATCAGTATTATTTTGATACGTTTTGAAGTTCTAGTTTTATATAAAGATATTTAATAAATAATAAGGTTAATCACTTATTGATAGTTCTTTATCTTTTATTATAAGCTTTTTTTGATATCTTAGTTTAACTTTCTTTTCAGTTGGAAAAGTCTAATTCAGTTATTCAGATCTTATACATTGTTAATATCTTGTTAAGAAATTGAAAAAACAATTAATCTATGTGAATTTCTCTTAATTCCATTCTTGAAATCAATATAGATAGATAAAAAGTTATATACTGTAAATTATGAAAAAAGATATTGTGGATGAAATAAATGATGCTATAACAAATCCTCCTAAATGATAAATTTCCGTGAAACAAAAAACAAGAAGAAAAAATAACAATTTGTTTGGAACAAAGTAGAACTATGATTTGTAATTGAGAAAAACATAATTTATCACTTTTGAATCACTAAAAGTGAACAAGCAGCAGAGAGAATTTAGTTCATTATGTTCATTCCAATAGTAATAACATATAATATTGTAATTAATAGTGATTATCAAGAAGATTCCAAAAAGTCAAGATCCAAAGGCTTTTCACAATAACTTTTTTAGTTTTTCATATAACCCCCATAAAATTCTTGTATGAATTGAATAACAGAGGTTGAGAGTGTAACAAGATTATAAAGTAAATTATCAATATATTTTTGATAATTGATATTGTGCATATTAGCCATATTGGAAGAGATGAAGAAAAGAAAGCTGTTTCTTGTGTAGATCCCAAAATGCTCTATGAAATTTGTTCAAAACTCATTGTTTCTATGAGAAGGGTGCTTCAACGTATGAAAATAATATCAATCTATAGTATTGGTTGCCTGCACTACAGTATCTTGGTTATCTAATTGTTTCAAATGGATTAAAGTTTGATTTTCTTGATCCATAATACACTCTGGTGAAACAATATAACGAAATTAAACCAACTCTTCCACACAACAAATATTTTTAATTATAGAAAATAATAATTATTTTACAGTTATATTTGAAAAAAAAGCTGGTTCATCTGAATTAGATATTAATGAAATTATTAATAAATGTCTTATTAATATCGAAGTATTAGTGAGTGATACTTAGCCAACATTGCATTGATAATATTTTATATTTAACAGATTTAACTAAAAAATTAAAATTTAAAACAGACAAGAATAAATAGTGAATTATAATCACTTGAAAATAAAATCCAATCTCAAGAAAAATTAATAGAATTCTAAAATAAAATAAAAAATGAATGATTGAAAAATTAAAATATTAATTAATTAAAAATTAATTAAATTAAATTATTTTTTTTATTATTTTTTATTATATTGTGATTATAATACGTATGGAGAAGATATTGGCGATCAAGTTAGAAATGTAAAGCGGTGCGAAAAACCTATACCACCATTTACGGTCCCGGTTCTACATTCTACAAGGACGTTTTTTTTGTTAACGATTACTTCGAAAGTGGCATTACGATCACCAAATAAATGAGGCTAAAGAACAAAAGTAAAATTAGAATTAGCACAATTAAAAAACATTGAATTTATTCCAAACTCACCTGAGGAGCATTTTTGACGGTCACAGCAGAAGAGAAACAACGAAGTCTGGCTTCAACTTTTTCTATCATTTTATTTTATTTTTAAGAGAAATGCTCGGTTAGTTAAACTGAATATTAAGTAAAAATAGAAAAAAGAAATACTTGATATACTATACCCTTCTCTTTTAGTCCAAATCCATACCATCTAACTTTTATGGATAATTTATGGGCGCCAGCGTTTCTGATAGTAACCGGATAAGATATAATTTGTTTGACGGATAATGGTTTGTCGTTGCGAGAAGCAGTGACAAAAAGAAGAGAAATAACAGTGAGAATGAAGGCTAAGATTAGTTTTTGATTCATTGTTATTAAGCTTTTTGAGAGGGAAGAAACCTTTCAATTATATAATTCAAGAGAAGGCGAAATAAAACAGCAGCTATACAAGAAAACCGTGTAGTTTATTGATCATCCATACTAAGATCCTTTAAATGCAATGCGGAAGATAATATAGTACATGTACATACTAAATATCAATTGAGGTTCCCGTATTTAAACCATTATCCTAATTGAAAATGGATCGTCTTTATACTGTAGAGAATTAAATTATATACATGTGCACCGCAAAAAGATGTGAAAGAATCAATGAATTTCACATGGCATCGCGATCTATTTACATGTACAAATTATAAAAAGTGTCTCGTTGCGCTACAATGTGTCGTATAGTACTAAACTTATAAGGATAACCCACCACGGATTGAAAATGTTCACGTGCTAATGAAATTGATTTTGTTTTTCAATTAGTACATACTATCTACGGTAAAAAAATTCAGTATATATGCGTACTTAACGCCATAATAGAAAATTTTACACATACCTGTTGACACAATCCCATATAGATAATCATAATCACCATCTTTAAATGCCTCATCAGCCGTTCGTTTTCTCTTATTCGTATGGAACGAGCTCTCAAGTTGCTTGATGTTTTGTAGGTAACCGATTTTGATGTTTCGCGGCTTTCCCTCTGTAATACACAAAAAATCTTCCAGACCTGTTATTACATAGTCGACTCGACCGGATGCTTCTTCGCCTGAAATATCTCTTTGCAGTTCTATATTGATTCTTTATCTATCAACCTCCGTGCAATTGCAATTGATGCATGTAATATAGAAGAAATAAATTCGCAACGCGTTGCCTCATTGGCCTCTATCACTAGTGCGTTTGCCCGGACTATGCTCCGGGATTAAAAATGCTAATGTATTTTATATATTAAAATATATTAAATTTGAAGCTATATATTATAATAATATAATATGATTATTAAATTCTATAATTTTATAAAAATTTGATTTTTATTATTATATAAGTTAATAATAAAAAAAATTTTTTTTAACGACTGGCATACACCTTGTTTATTGAATATTGTATTCAGTGCTCTTACATTTTGCAACAAAGTCAGACTCTATCTATTCCCTAAACTACCTAAGATAGCAAGCTACCTACCAGTCGGCTTGTTGCCCTCCATGCCTTCTATATTATTAATGCTGGAGCCCTAATAGCATAGGTGGAGAACTAACTTGTCAGGATGTACACTTCTAAGTCCCCATCTGCCATTTGATAAACAGGAACTTAGAAAACCATCTGAACATAGTCAGCCAGAAATTAGTTATATCCCATTGGCTCTAACTAGATCTAAAAAAATTTTTAAAAAAGTAAAAATGGGGTATGTGTACGTGTTTACATGTGAGTATCTATAATAATCTGCAAAAAAATCCCTTAAAACCTGCAGGACATATTTATGAAACTACAAAAGGGAAAAAACTACTTATTGTTCTAAAGAAAAAACCCATTTGTATGCTATTGTGATTTCTATATTAATTTGTGATCGACCCATACTTCTTATATCTTCTTGTTGATCTTTATTTAGTCTTAAAAATCTCCAACTAGGATTGGTCATTTGCTTCCTGTTTTGAGTGGAGTGCTACTGTTACTATATATTATGATTAGATGAAGTTCAGTCACAAGGTATTTAACTTCAAACCAAACAAAGGATTAGATACTATATCACAAGTAAAGTTTGTAAAGAAGAGTGGAGAATATTAGTCTTTATTCCTATTCGTGATTATATATTTTGCCATGTCAACATTGTTGTTGTACTTTGTTAGTCTGTATTTTCTAGCTGTATGAGAAATACCACCTGACTTTTTGTCATTAAGGAGCCAATACTAACTCCAATGGTACTTTCGGTTTGCCATTCAAGGCAACTTGTTTAAGAATAAAGAGAGCTGTTTTTGGCCTTATAGCTTCTTTACCAGCAAGAACTATATCTCTAGAGAGAGTACAGTGTAGTACTGCTAACCAGTATATTTGTGAGTTCTTTAATAAAAGTTTTTTTCTCAAAAGAGAGAAAACTTTCTAAAAAGAAAATTTTTAAGGAATGTGTAGTGAATGGAAAAGAGTTTTTTTTTTGTTGATATAAGTTAATAATATATAATTATAATAATTAAAATCTATATAATTTGTAAGAAGAAATTTAATATAAAATATATATTTATTTATTATTTTTTTTTTATTACGAACAGGCATTAAATGCGAGACTTTATTTAAATAAAAATATTTACTGTCATTACATTAACAATCTTTACATAGTAAATTAAT